TTCCTCCACCACCATTATCTCCGGCAACATTGTTCACATTTGTGTGTCGTCGCGAAAGCTCAACGATCATTACTGCCTATCTGCTGGTAAAACCAAACCCAATTTTGAAATCCCAATTCCTATAATCAATAATAGCTCCATTTACCTCCAAACTCCAAACCAGCGTTTGAACCTCCCTCTTTCGCTATTGCGTACTTTGCACCAAGACAATGGTTCCATTAGTCCTGAATCCACAGTCAATGGTGAAATGGTGATGAAAGAGACTGTTGAAGCTGTCCATGATGAGGCTGATCCAGTACTTATGAGGAATGGAGAAAACAAAGACAGAGAAGAGGATATTGCAAATGCAAAGAAGGAAGTCGAAGAACAGCTACGACTGCACAGATCATGGAAATCGGAAAATAAGCAAGCAGGGTGTGAAGGGAGGGGTGTATATGTGTATGATCTGCCATCAAAGTTTAATAAGGATTTGGTAGGTCAATGCAGAGACATGGTTCCATGGATGGACTTCTGCAAGTACTTCAAAAATGAGGCCTTGGGAGAACCAATTCCTAAGCTTGGAAATGGTTGGTACCAGACACATCAGTATTCATTGGAGCCAATATTCCATCAAATGGTTTTGAAGCATCCTTGCAGGATTTACAATGAGAATGAAGCCAAACTGTTTTATGTCCCATTTTATGGTGGCTTGGATATTCTAAGATGGCATTTTAAGAATGTTTCCAATGATGTGAAAGATGCTTTGAGTTTGGAGCTCATAACTTGGCTTGAGAAACAAAAACCATGGGCTAAGAATTCAGGTAAAGATCATGTAATAGTGCTGGGGAAGGTTTCATGGGATTTTAGGAGAAAGGACGGTTCATGGGGAACCAGACTGTTGGAGATTGACCAAATGGAAAACCCAATAAAGCTTTTGATTGAGAGGCAACCATGGCAGCCAAATGACATTGGCATTCCACATCCAACATACTTCCATCCACACTCAGATGATGATATCATGGCATGGCAATGGAAGATCATCAGTTCATATCGAAAAAGGTTAGTGAGCTTTGCTGGGGCAGCAAGGCCTGGTGCAGCTGAGAGCATAAGGTCCATATTGATCAAACAATGCAATTCATCAGCACACAATGGAAACCAATGCCACTTTCTTGATTGTAGTTCAGGTGGATGTGACCAGCCAGAGTCGGTCATCGAGCTTTTCATGGAGTCTGAATTCTGCTTGCAGCCTCCAGGGGACAGCCCAACTAGAAAATCCCTATTTGATTCTCTAATTTCAGGTTGCATACCTGTGCTATTCGATCCGTTTACAGCTTACTACCAGTATCCATGGCATCTACCAGAGGATCATGAAAAATATTCTGTGTTTGTAGACCAAGAAGAGGTGAGGCAAGTGAAGGTGAATGTGGTGGAAATGCTGACGAAGATTTCTAAGAAGGAGAGGGATGATATGAGGAGGTATATTGTGTATGAATTGCTACCTGGTTTGGTATATGGAGATTCAACTGCCAACCTTGAGAAGTTTCAGGATGCATTTTCCATTATAATGAGTAATCTGATGGAGAGAGTGACCAAAATGGATTCAACAGCATAACTGAGGATGACTTGTTCTTTTTTTTGGCTACTAGGATGACTAGTTCTATTTTGTTCATTGATCAACTCTTTTGCCCTTTTGAATTCATATACAAAGCATAGCATTGTGAGGAGGGAAAAGAATATTTGAGGAATACAATACATACTGTTTTATCTAACATTCTATTCTTCCGAACTTCGAATTCTTACCGTAAATATGATAATATAATATTATAGTACTTGTAATTGAAAAATATTATTTTTAATGATATTTCTCTTTTCAACGTTGAAAGTGGTTGCAAGTTTAAATATCACTTTTTTCGGTTAATAAAATAGAGTGTTCTTTTACTTACTTGAAAAGTTTAAACGGCTCCCGTCGAAACCCAACCCAAAAAATACAAAACAAAAACTGTGACTTTCATGAAACCTCATTATCCCAGAAACAAAATCTAGAACCTAAAAGTCAAAGACAAACCAAAATTTGCATCAACACAAACGAAATATCCAGAACAGTCAAAATATTCTGTTCACACCCATTTAATAAAATTTCCAAAAAAAAAAAAAGAAATATCCAGTTCACACTATTCACACTGTCATCAAATTTAGTCCGTTGGCCCAACCATCACCATAAAAGTCCATGACGTCTGCTCTGATGCAATGCAACAATCCGAGCCGAATTTCCTCCTTTCTAAGATAGACACTTCGTCCTTTCACCTTCACGTGTGCGCTTACGAGATCGCCTACGTGTACAGCTACCAATCGTGCACGTGTACTTGTACAAATCCGTCGCCTACAAATCTCCACGAAAACATAAATTGAAGCCCATTCTCTGCTTTGTATCTCAATGCTCTGTACTTCTACTCGCTTTATCTTACGAAGAAATCTCAGTGTAACTGCTTTATCTTCTTCACTGCTTTCTTCAAAGCAATTCTCGGCCAATTCCAAGCAGGCCCCTTTGCGTTTTTCACAGGTTTCGTTGTCTTCTCCGTCAATCAAAGTAGCGTTTTCGAGCCCGGTTTGGTGTACTTTGCGATCGAACAGTACAATGGCTAGCCAGTCTGGGAGTAAATCTATCCACGATTTCACTGTCAAGGTTGGTTTTTTTGAGGAATTTTGATTCTGTTTACTTCAGTTTTAGACACGAATTCAATATTGAAGGCAAGTCGGTTCTTTTGATTTTCATTTTTACATTTGGGTTTGGGGATCTTTGTTTGGTTAATAGCTTGGGTTGTTTCAATCTGTAATTTTGATGCAGAAATAGGGGATTTTACTTTGTTCATCCTTATTCTTTCTTGGATTTGAATAAAGGACAAGATTGATGTCATTACCCCAAAGAAAACATAAATGATGCTTATAATTCTTAGGTTTGCCCTATATTTTTAGAGTCATAAAGAAGAGAACTTTATTTTCAAAAAAATGGTGACCCATACGGATTATTGATTGGAAAGGCCCATACTTTAATTCAGTTGCCTCTCATTTTCATGCCAGTATTTGTGTTTTCAGGTGTTGCTCTGTGATGATAATTGGGTTTTAATTATCTTTCTTAGTATTGAATATCTCAGTAGGTTTGGATTGTGCCTTTGGAGCCAACCCTTCTCTCAGTTGATGTGTCAACTAACTAGTAATGGGGTTTATTTGGAAATTGATATCTATGCAAATCTCTTCCATGTTTCATCGCTTCACTGAGAATTTGATGTGTATAATATGTCCTTTTACTTGCAGGATGCCAAGGGTAAAGATGTTGATCTTAGCATCTACAAAGGGAAGGTTCTGTTGATTGTCAACGTTGCATCACAATGGTACACCATAGCTTATTTTCCTTCTGACTTTCTCCCTTTACATTAAACAAAAATAATGTCTTAGTAATTAACCTTCTTCATAATTAGAAAGCAGCCTTTTCTGCCACCCATCTTTCTCTTTGATTGCAACCTTATTTATACAGTTTGCTATTTGATTTTGATGCAGTGGCTTGACTAATTCGAACTACACAGAGCTGAGTCAGTTGTATGAGAAATACAAAAATCAAGGTTTGCCTTTTCACTCCTTTCCTTTCACTTGTTCCTGTTTTTGATTTCTTTCTTTCTCACCCATGCTTATATTTCATCCTAAGACCATTTTCCTAGAAACTCTTATCTATTGAGGTGATTTTGCTTAGGCTGCTATGATCTTTTCCGGTTTTTTCTTTTGGTTGCTTTATAGTTTACTCTTGCATCTGTGGCCTTGTAGGTTTGGAAATCTTGGCATTCCCATGCAACCAGTTTGGAGCTCAGGAGCCAGGATCAAATGATGAGATTGTAGAGTTTGCTTGCACTCGCTTTAAGGCTGAGTATCCCATCTTTGATAAGGTAGAAGTTGTTTCCGATTTCATTTTGATGCAAATGAACTGTGAAAGCTTTTCCTTTCCTTGCATGGAGTTATATTATTAACAAGAGCTGGAGATTGACATGTTTTCAATATGTGCTTCCAATTTTAGGTGGATGTGAATGGTGACACTGCTGCTCCCATTTACAAGTTCTTGAAGTCGAGCAAGGGTGGGCTCTTTGGTGACAGCATTAAGTGGAACTTCTCCAAATTCCTTGTTGACAAAGAAGGGAATGTTGTTGACCGTTATGCCCCTACAACTTCTCCTCTTAGCATTGAGGTAGAAAATCAATCTTCATGCCACTACCATTAATTTCATTTCAAGTGAAGTGATTTGTTTTTTCTAATTGACTAACAAAATTCTGGTTGGTCCTGCTTTTGTTTTGCAGAAGGATGTAAAGAAACTGTTGGGGGTTGCATGAGCAACCAGCTCTTTATGAATAAATGAGAAGCTGTAATAAGAATAAAGCTGTCTGTAATAAAAATATGTATCTCTTTGTATTGTTGGACTTGTTTTAAGGATACTTTACGGATGTTTCAGTGAAGCAGTAATTTCAAATACACAGATGGTACCTGCATGCAAATTTGTGTTCTGAATATAATGGTGTATTTTGGAAGAGGGAAGAAAGCATGTACATTTCAAATGATTTATTGGATATGAACGTTTAAATCTCTCCGATCCAAATTCATTTTAAATATTTGATATTGAGAGAGTAGAAGAGGGTAGCTGGAATGAGAGGAAGAGATTTGACATATTGTTGGGCTGAATATCAAAATCCCAAATTAACAAGTGAAACACTTTCAGTTCTTATTATATTCAAAACGAAAGCTTTCTGGAATACCAAGTGGAAAAGAAGCACATGTTAACAGCCTCCTAGTAAAGAGGGAACAAAAAGCAAAAGCAAACCAAGGGGTACAAGGCTTACATACAAATGGTCAAGAATTTGTTTAATGTGTTTCAATGTATATTCTATCAACAGAATTATATATATATATATATATGTATATTAATCGATTCGTGTAGTGTGTGTAAGTTTAATATGGTATCGTTCATCTCAATAAAAAAAAGTCCTAAAAAATATATAATAAAAAAACATGTTAAAGGGAGAGAGTGACAGATTTTTCATCACAAGGAAAACATCCACCAGAAAAAGAAAAAAAAAACGTCATTGCTATTGTTCATGTCATAGTGGTATTGGGCATTTTGCTAATCAACAATTGAATAAGTCTAAGCCCAAGGCTGAAGAGTGCAGCCCGAAGTTCAAACAAAGGGTCGAGCTGAAAACGAGGGGGCCTAAACGCCATTAGAGCACAGTTGAACATGAAAGCCAATTTGATTGGGAGCTTAGGAAGTCAAAGAGGCATATAGGGTTTGTCCATTGCTGAGCTAGTTCTTCTTCTACTTGAGAGTTTCATAGCAGACAGTTATAATAGGATGACAAGCCAGCTAACAGAGAACCCAAAAACAATTTATGACTTCACTGTCAAGGTAAGCCTGTCCATCTTCAACTAGTTTATGCTTTTTTGCTGCATCTTTTAAAGGAGGTTCTGTACATGTTCTTCGAGCTGTAAATAATTTATTAGTAGATGGGTAGTTTTGGAATGATGCGATTGTGTTGAAAGTGTTCATTTTTCTAGCAATATTAATCCCATAAAAGAATTATGAATGCTCGGTAGTCGTTCTTGGCATGTTTTGAGAATTTTCCTTGGTCTGGTTGGTTGCCAAGAAAAAAAGAAAGGAAATTTCCGGTGATGTTAATGGGATTATATGTGGAAACTCAGTTGATAAGTAAATGGTCTTTGTATCTTGATTTTGTTGCTAGTGTGATAGTTTTATATTAGTGCAGGATGCTAAGGGAAATGATGTGGATCTTAGTGTGTACAAGGGAAAGGGTCTACTGATTATCAATGTTGCTTCAAAATGGTATTTTCTCATATTCTTCGTTTCTCACATTTATTTTTTCTTTAAAAATAAAAACTAGTTATTCATTGATGTTTTTCACTGATTTGGCAGTGGACTGACCAACTCAAATTACACGGAGCTGAATCAACTATATCAGCAATATAAAGATCAAGGTTTGCATTTTGAACTAATATTGTCCTTTCATGCCTGCCATTTTGACAATCATTAGAGAAATGATTGTAATATGGTAACGAGGTTTAGGAAAATCATGCTTGAACTGACATCTAACAAATTTGTGTTCTTACATGTCGATTCCGCTTCTTTCTTCCTTTCCAACTTCCTCTCTAGCTAGAATGCTTGTTTCATTTTTGTTTCTTATTTATTTAATTGACTGTTTTGCATATGTTACAGTCTAGTTTTATCAGAACAACATGTAGCCCCTGAATGTCTAGTTCGAAAATCCTGTTTTCAACGTAAATGTTCTATAACTAGTTCAAAACTTCACTGAAATTCTACTTTTTTTCATCACTTTTTTCCCCTTTGTACAATATACTTTGCGCGTTGATGCAGGCTTGGAGGTAGTAGCATTTCCATGCAACCAGTTCGGTGATGAGGAACCTGGAAGTAATGAGGAGATTGAAGAGTTTGTCTGCACTCGTTTCAAATCAGAATTTCCAATATTTGACAAGGTAGATCTAGGAACAATAGATGATTGTTATATCTGCTTTCCAACAGCTTACACAGAGTACACTTTTAGGCCAGACAAAAGGTTTTTTGACCACATGCTCATCTATAGGCTTTGTCTAATGACAGAGAAGTGCATTTCCATCTTTGTGCATGCCAACAAACTTAGTTTAGTCAGTCAGACTGGTTGAGGATCTTCACATTTACAAGTCTTAGTTGCAATATTTCAAATGCGGATGTATTTAGGCTAGCCAGTAACTAATTTTACTGAATGAACACTTACTTCAAATCCTTTATAACTTTTGCAAGTTAGAAATTTGACATGTGTTGTTCCTATGGCCATTTCAACGCCGTCTGAGAGCTTGGATGGTATTTCACTGTCTTTTTTCTTGTGTTAGATTGAAGTAAACGGCGATAATGCTGCTCCATTGTACAAGTTCTTGAAGTTAGGCAAATGGGGATTCTTTGGAGATGATATTCAATGGAACTTTACCAAGTTTTTAGTTGACAGGGATGGGAAAGTTTCTGATCGCTATTACCCAACAACTTCCCCCCTTAGCCTTGAGGTAAATACGCAGTTGTCCAATTCTCGAATATTAATTCGGTTATGATGCCTCTGTTTATTTTGGTTGATAATCTCTAGATTTGTCAAGTGATCATACTGTTTTCTTACAGCGTGACATAAAGAAGCTGTTAGGGGTCTCATGAATGCTGAGATGTGAAGGCTTCAAGAGGGTCATAGTGTAAGCAGTAAGCAGTATGCATATGCTTGCCTTTTGTGTTTCAGGATGGATGGGAAAAAATGCCTTGCTTTTGTGTGTTGTTGTGGCTTCAAGACTGATTTAAGGACCTAAGGCTGTATCTGTGTATATTGTATTGTATTTGCACAAACTGAAACAAAACCACTTGTTTTGTGTAATTGAATGTTGTCGAAATTCTTACCCTCCCAATTCCACTAAACCTTTTATGTGCAGTAGAGCCTAATGGCGCATCAACCAGCCAGCGTTCTTCAAAGACAAAGGTGGGCGAGCCATCATCCCCCACCATAAGGGACGTAGAGGATGCAAGAGAAAAAATTAAGGGCATGGATTTTTGAGCTGAATGTACTATAAAAATAAAATTTATTATTTTGGGTTTGGTTTAACGTTTTTGCCCCTATTTATGAAACCAGCGTGAAATCGAATCTAAAATCCAATTAAAAATGTTTGTATTGGATTGGATTTTGCACAACCCCTACTCTCTCTCTTTTTGTCTTCGACCTAGGCGGCAATGGTATGCATCCATCAGTATTGTTTCAAAGAAAAAGAAAACAATTTTGTAGAACACCATATGAGAATGCCACCTACGGAAAAAGAAACAAACAGTCGAGCTATGTAGCATTATGTTTTTTTTGTTTTTTTTGTTTTTTTTGTTTTTTTGTTTTTTTTTTTGTTTTTTGTTTTGTTTTTTGGTCTGAACCACGAGGTGGTCCTGGATGGGCTCCAGCTATGGGTGGCAGTGGCACATTTAAGCCTTAACCACAACTCAGATTAATCTCCACTCACACGGGTCGGCCCGTAAGGGGTAAAGTGCTGGTCAAAGTGGTGACTCCATACGAGAGCAGGGATCGAACCCCTGACTATCTCTTAAGGAATGAGAATACCGAACCACTCACACCAACCACCTTGGTTAGCATTATGTATTTTGAAAGTAACGATGGTTTCCGTAATTTTTCTGGTACAATATGTTATGTGTGAGCCAAAAGCTCAAAAATAAACCTAAAAGGTGTGAAACGAGCCGTGTCGGGCTGGATTAGCCTATTTAGAGTCGAGTCATTTAATAAACAGATCATGTCAGGCTCGTTCATTTATGAAAATCACTAATTTCAGCTTGGACTGTACTTGTGTCGGGCCATTAAACAAGGCGAGATTGGCACATGCCAAATTTGACTTATGTATTGCATTTTTTTATATAAAATTTTACAACTTGATTTAAATATTTTTAATAATTATGTATATACAAACAAGATTTATTATTTGGTGAAAAAAGAGACCAATAATTTTATTTAAAGTACATTTAAATAAATAATTACTAGATTATTGTTTGGATTTTAAAAATTAAAACTTCAAAAACAAAATTATTATTTTTTACAT